TTGCAATTGGGGAAAACAAGCAAGGTAAATATTCATTGTTGATTTCCCAAGCACTCAAGCTTATGAAAATTGAACCCATCTTTTTAACTTTTTGGTGGATCCTACATGAAAACATACATGGCCCATAAACTCAACTATATTATTTTTTCCCCCAATTACCTTTTTTTTATACTTACCCAAAAAAATAAAATTGTACAGCTATTTACCCAATCAAAGAGAGAAAAACCTTTTCGTATAGATAGATATATATTTATGTGTATGTACATACACAAACCACCGAGGTGGTAGTCTTACTTAATTGCCTTCAATAGAGGGTGAAAGTTCTACCCTTCAAACCTATTTGCAGTAGTAATACATGTGAACTAGATACTATTAGAAGGGGACTGAATGTTTAGCTTGTCCTCAGTGGTGTTGTGATGATAAACTTGACTATTTCAGGTTAATAATAATAGTTCAAATAGAATATTTTATAATTGATGAGAATCTCAAAATGTCTTGTGGGTTGTTATAATTAGTTGCTCTTGACCACCTTTTTTTCAATAGGAAAAAATTAAAAAAAAATGTACACACACAGGCATACAGGGGAACACTAAAGTGCCAATTTTCATTTTCTACTATCATTAAAGCAAACCCCCCCCCCCTCCCCAACTCCCCACAAAACAAACAAATAGTAAATTTCATGTCAAAAAATGATAATTTTCACCTAAAAATATGGTAAGTGTACTTAAAGATTAGTACACTCCTAAAATTAATGAACTTTATTCAAAAAAAATATGTGATACACTATATTTTTTTATTTTTTTTTAGTACTATAACCAAACCATAGAGGTGTGAAAGTAGCATTAGGTATCTTACTTACTGGGGCAAAAAAAAAAAAAAACATAAGGTATCTCAACGGTAAAAGCGAGTGACCTTTTGAGGACATTGTGCAGAGAAATACCTGATATGTATCCAAGCAGTGTATGGTTACAGAGGGGCCTACAAAAAAAAAAAAGTTATGGCATATTTGACTTACTTCCTCGGATATTTATGATAATTCTAATGAGACCCCCTTGCACTGATATCTTTTATTCCAAGTTTTGTATGAACTGACGAGTTTCTATACACAAATTCTGCTTGAAACGGGTAATGTTCTTGGAGACACAAAACTTGAAGTAAGGGAGACCAATGAAATAATCAAAACATCAAGATCTCTTCTTAAAATTAGCTTAAATCTTTGGAGAGGTTTACGATATTATCCCAAAAAATTAAATCTTGCATATGTACATCTGTACAATTATCAAAACATTTCGGGTGGACTATTTCCATCGCATAAATATTAATCCTCACGTCATTATATTTATAATAATAAATCACTTTAAAAATTACAATAATGACCCATATCATTAGATCTGATAATTTATATTAAGATTTAAATTTTAATATTTTAACCACAATAACTCAACTCATATATTAAAAAAAAAGTGTTTTGCACGGGACGGCTTGATTTATGTTACAATTTACATTTTAACCTTTTAACTATAGTAACTCAATGTATATATTAAAAAAAACGTGTTTTACCCGAGACACAACTAGTTTTTTTTTTTTAATATCAAATTACTATAGCAAAGATCCTTTTATACTATAACAATTACACAAAAAAACCCCCTAAATTTTGCTAACTTATAAGAAAACACAATTCTAATAAACATAAGATGCGTTACTTTTTTTTTTTCTATAATGTATGCATGCTCAATTATACATTTCATATAGTTGGGTATCGGTCGAATTTCTCACCCTGAGATTAGAGGTTAGAGGTTTGAGTATTAGAGTTTACATTGGGGCTTAGTAGTTGATCATAATGCTAGCCTAACTAGGCTCGTTCCCAAAAGAAATATCAGATGCGATCAAGAGCCTCGTAAACCCATTAGTGATGACCTATCAGAATAGTCTCTAGACACTTTCTTTTACTCCCGCCCTTTTTTTAATCTGCAAAAAAAAACTATACATTTCATACAACTTGTCATATCCAACAAAAGAAAATCAAGAAGCCATGAAAAAAAATTAGGGTAAGAAAACAATACCAAAGATTGTATCGAAAATAATAATTTTTAGTTAATTTATATTTTTAAAAAAATAAGTTATAACTAAATAACGCCAAATTATGACCAAACAAAAGCTAAGATTATACTTAAAATATTTAATTTGATCCTAAACAACTATATTTTGATGACAATCATAATCTCAATCTTATTTTATGTAATTTTAGTAATATATATTGAAAAAATATTTTTCAATACCGTAATCTAGGAGTGATAATTTTTTACATAACAAGAAAATATGACTCTAAATCAACACGAATTTAGCAGGTTAGAGTTAATCATTTCTCAACGCGAACATGTAAATGACATGACCCATTAATACAAATAATAAATGGGTCGAATTAGTGTCAAATACGAACAATACAAATTGACACAATTAACATGTTTAACTATTATAATACGAACAAAGTGCCAATTATTGTTATTGTTTATCAAATATTGATATAATTATTGTAAAAAAATATATTTTTATTTGTTTTTATTGTTATGTTTATTAAGTTAATTTTTAATTTATAAAAAAAAATATGAGCATGAATTCAATTAATTAATAATAAAATCTAAAACTTAAATATTAACATTAAATTATTTATTCACAACTTATATGAGATGATACAAATACAATACGAAAATAAATAGATAAGATCGATATAACATGATTAATTAAATAAATTATATTAAAATTTATTAATATTCGACATAAATTCATAATAACACGATACAATTATCAGCCTAGGTAACCTTACCCCAAAATTCATAGTGATATAACATTGGATGATAGAAAGGCATAAAACGGAATACCCCATGCACGTTGTCACGTGCGAGGTAGACTGTTGTCTCTGTTTTTGACTTAGTTTTATTGTCAGTCCAACATTCAAACCAGTCACGGGTACTCTCTTCTGTATCCACTGGATCAGCTCCAGTGGACCAAAAAATGCGCCACCACATTGTTTTTTCTGGATGGTTTTGATTTAATTGATTAAGTTGTTATAGGCAAACATGCATTTCTGTACTAGATTAAAGATAAAACTAAAAAAATACAATAAAATAAATTTATAGTTGGGTGTTGAGTCTTGCTGAGTTGGTAACCCATGGACGCTAATGGTTCGAATAATGGAAATAATTTTTTTTATATAACAAGATAGCAAAGTACACTTGATTCTCTTATTCCCGTGAGTTAGAAGTGTTAATCAAGTTGAGTCTTTTAAATTTTTAGTTTTGAATTTAGACTCGTTTTTTTAAGTAAATCTAAAAAATTGTTTAAACTTCACTCGTTTAAAAAATAAATCAAGTTCGAGCCAAATTTTATCCGAACTAAATCTGAATAACAATTTTTTGCAGTATTTTTATCTTATTGGTTAAAAAAAGGTTAGGAAGCAGGAGCATCCATGATACCCCAAAAGAAAGGGCAGTGTAGTAGGGTACACTGTACACAGTCTTCTATGTCCTGAGTTGCAGACAGTGGCCATTGATTCCCTTCGGTATAAGGTGTCTTGGTAGGTGGAACGTCAAGTCCTATTATTTTCATCTCTGTCTCTATCTCTATCTCTATAAACAGCATCACTGTTTCTTTGGATTCTCTCTCTACAGACAAATATGACACCCAAAAAAACACTAATTTTATTTTTCTCATAACAATTATTATGAAAACCTTCAAAGTAAGCGTGTTTGACTTTCTTGAGTGTGACAAAAAAGAAAGGCAACAAACTTTCTTAAAGTAAAGTTTCTTTTTCAACATTCATGGAAAAATGTTATGCTTACTTCCTCCGTTGCACAAAAAGAAAAGATTATTTAAAAATTTACCAAATCAATGTGTATGATTGGAACAGTAGTTCTGTTAACTTTTTTTATGGGTCTCACTGATCCAAGCATTCACGTTAATTTGATAAACATAACATTTTCATAATTCAAGGCTGAATTTATTACTAATTAGGTAATTTTGGAAGAAAAATATACATAAAAATCCATATCAAGCAAGTCCATGTATTTTTGTGTTAAGGTCCTTTACTTAATGATTCTCCCATACTATGATGGACTTCTTGCTTTGCATTCATCAGTTAAGTAACATGTTTGGCTTTGAATACTTGATTGGCGACAAAAAAAGGAAGGTAAAACTTTCATAAAGTTGTCTAGGCATCAAAATGCATGGGTGCATTATTACTTGTTTGGCTATTTGGAAGAAAAATATGTCATGTAATCTCAAGTGTGATAGTGTTGAAAAAATGGTCATGAACTCATAATAATTTGTTGTTCAATGTTATTTTTATGATTTTCTTTCACAATACGTTTGTAGTTTTAATGCTATATGACAAAGCCATAGACAATCTCCTTTGTTCACTTGCTAAAAATAAAGACCTCACTTTATTTCTTCTACGTTCTGGTCTATATTTTGTTGTTTAATATTGGATTTAGTATTATTTCGACATTTATGTTACATATTTTGTTTTTTTATTTAAATGTAAATATTTTCGTATGTGTAGTTTCTTTATAATTTTTTTTTGTTATTGTTATTCCTAGCTAAATGTAAATAAAAACCCATACCATGCAATTCCATATTTTTGTGTTAAAGTCCTTTTACTTCATATTTTTCCCATATTATGATATAGTTGTGCTTTGCTTTTACATAACATGGAAGCCTTGAGCACTTGAACCCCATAGAAAGTTAGGCATCCAAGACACTCACTCTCTCTCTCTCTCTCTCTCTCTCTAACTCACATACTCATTCACTTCACAGATATATAGAAAAGATTGGCATAACATAGCCAAGCTCTATCTGGTTCAGCCTGACCTCCAATGGCTACCACTTGCACATCACTGTTCATTCTCTCTCTCTCCTTCTCATTCTTCATTCTCACTTCTTCTTCTTCTTCTTCATCTGAAGCTGATATTCTTCTTACATTCAAGGACTCCATTGATGACCCCATGAACTCTCTCTCCAGTTGGTCAAACACCACAGCTATTCACCACTGTAACTGGACTGGAGTCACTTGCACAACTACATTCTCTGTTTCTTCTCTCAACCTACAAACCCTAAACCTCTCTGGCCAAATTTCACCTTCTATTTGTCAGCTTCCCAATCTCACTCATCTCAACCTGGCAGACAACCTCTTTAACCAACCCATCCCTCTTCATCTCTCAGAGTGTGGTTCCTTAGAGACTCTGAATCTAAGTAACAATCTCATTTGGGGCACAATCCCAGATCAGATTTCTCAGTTTGGGTCACTGAGAGAGCTTGATTTCAGCTGGAACCATGTTGAAGGAAAGATCCCAGAAAGCATTGGCTCTTTGAAGAACCTTCAAGTTCTCAACTTGGCCAACAACTTGCTCTCAGGTAGTGTTCCTTTGGTTCTCGGTAATTTCACTGAACTTGTTATTCTTGATTTGTCTCAGAATCCATTATTGGTGAGTGAGATTCCTAGTGATATTGGTAAGCTTCATAAGCTTGAAGACCTTTTGTTACAAAGCTCTGGTTTTTATGGAGAAATACCTGATTTTTTTGAGGGTTTAAAGAGCTTGTACACTTTAGACCTTTCTCAGAACAATCTCACTGGTTGGGTACCTCAGATTGGGTTGTCTCTCCCAAACTTAGTGTCTTTTGATGTTTCAGAGAACAAGCTTTCTGGGTCATTCCCAATTGGTGTATGTGGAGCTAAGGCCCTTATAAATCTTAGCCTCCATACAAATTCCTTTAATGGGTCAATAACCATTAACTCCAATGAGTGCATGAATCTTGAGAGGTTTCAAGTTCAGAACAATATGTTTTCTGGGGATTTCCCTGATGGGTTATGGACATTACCTAAAATTAAGCTCATCAGAGCAGAAAACAATAGATTTTCTGGAGAAATACCTGATTCTATTTCAATGGCAGCTCAATTGGAACAAGTTCAGATTGATAACAACAGTTTCATTAGTAAAATTCCTCGGAGTCTTGGATTACTTACAAGCTTATATAGATTTTCTGCATCTATCAATGGTTTATATGGTGAGCTTCCTCCAAATTTTTGTGATTCGCCCGTCATGAGTATCATAAACCTCTCCCACAATCACTTTTCTGGTGGAATTCCAGAGCTGAGAAAATGTAGGAAACTAGTCTCATTGTCTCTAGCAGACAACAATTTTGTGGGTGAAATACCACAATCTCTTGCTGTATTGCCAGTGCTAACTTATCTCGATCTTTCCCAAAATAATCTCACTGGTGCAATCCCACCAGACCTTCAAAACTTGAAGCTGGCTCTCTTCAATGTGTCCTTCAATCGGCTCTCTGGTAAGGTTCCATTCACATTAATCTCGGGCCTTCCTGCTTCGTTTTTGCAAGGAAATCCGGACTTATGTGGCCCGGGATTACCCCATTCTTGTTCAGATGACCAGCAAAGTCACCAGATGGCTGGTCTGTCAAAAATGGCACGTGTCCTGATCTCTATAGCTCTAGCAGTTGCAATTGTAATTGTTGCTGTTGGGTTCTATGTGATACGTCAATCTTCGAAGCGCAAATCACGGATGGGTATTTGGAGATCAGTATTCTTTTATCCACTTAGAGTTACTGAGCATGATTTGATCATGGTAATGGATGAAAAAACTGCTATAGGAAGTGGTGGAGCTTTTGGAAGATTCTACATTGTAAACTTGCCAAGTGGTGAACTTGTTGCTGTCAAGAAGATACTAAACTTTGGAAGTCAGACTTCAAAATCTTTGAAGGCTGAGGTTAAGATATTAGCCAAGATCAGGCATAAGAACATCGTTAAAATTCTTGGATTCTGCCATTGTAACGATTCAATCTTTCTGATTTATGAATGTTTACAAAAAGGCAGCCTTGGGGATTTGATTGCCAGACCTGATTTTCAGTTGCCATGGAGTGTAAGGTTGAAGATTGCCATTGGGGTTGCTCAAGGACTTGCATATCTTCACAAGGACTATGTTCCACATTTACTTCATAGAAATGTTAAGTCTAAGAATATTCTTTTGGATGCGGATTTTGAACCAAAGCTCACAGATTTTGCTCTGGATCGCATTGTTGGAGAAACTGCATTTCAATCATCCTTGGCTTCAGAATCTGCCTTCTCTTGCTACATTGCACCAGGTGTGGAAATGTTATAGAACTTTATACATTGTTTACCGTAGATTTCTTGCTAAGCAGTTATTTTTTCATGAATGATTCGAGGAACATGGGCCAAAATTATTGTTACACGAGTCATTATATTTTGTCATGTGAATCTCCTCTAGTATAGGATCACTGAAATCATTTTTCCTTTTGACCTCTTTTGAAACGCCCAACTATAGTTCTTCGTATGTGACTGGATGCAAATCTCTCATTAGTATTGTTTTTTACTACAGAATATGGGCACTGCAAAAAAGCCACTGAACAAATGGACACATACAGCTTCGGGGTTGTCTTGTTAGAGCTTGTGACAGGACGGCAAGCAGAGGAAACTGGATCAGTCGACTCTCTTGATGTTGTGAAGTCGGTAAGAAGAAAAATCAATATCACTAACGGGGCATTGCAAGTTCTCGACTCCAAGATTTCAAATTCCTCTCAACAAGAGATGTTGGAAGCTCTAGAAATCGCACTGCATTGCACTTCTGTAATGCCAGAAAAACGGCCATCAATGTCTGAAGTTGTGAGAGCACTTCAGTCCCTCGACTCAAAGTCTTCCCTATCAGATTCACAGTTGTTTGCTTCAGATGAGTGTTCAGTACCTCTCTGAACTTTGAACAAACACTACCCTATTTCAGTTTTGTAAATTCAGCTTGATTTCACAGGTTTTCTTGGAGTCTTTTTCTGTTTTGGGAATGGTTTTTGGGCCAGTGGAAAGATAATTGTTTGGGAAGTTACTTGGAAATGTTTATCTTGTTTCCTCGCTGAATATGTTCTGGAGTTTGGATAAATATTATACGAAATTTTTACAAGTTTACCTGAGCTACAATCTTTTCATCACAGTTACCTATATTTACTTATAGTTATATGAAGAAATAAAGATCTATATATGTTAAATTATTATGCATATGTAGTTATTAAATTGAATTTCACGGTGTAATATATGTTATATTTTATTTTTTGATATGTAATAATATAATAATATTATAAATTATCTAATTAATTAATTTAATAAAATAAATAATAATTAAAATTTGAATTAATTATTCAGCATATAATTTATTATTTAATTTAATTATATATAATTCATATTTTTTATTAAAATAATATTATTTAAATTTAGAGAGAGAGAATGAACAAAATAGTCATAGCCCAATCCACCACTCTATTTTATCCTTGGGATAGTGACCATAAGGTCAGTTGACTCATGACTGGACTGGGTTTTAAAAACTATATAATTTTTGAAGATGCCCTGCACTTGAATCTGTCCACTTGTGTCTCAAAAGATCCTTCCTATGCCCAATGAAGATCCATTTTTAGAAGAGCAGGATGTTCAAATTTTTGATTGGTTCCAATTTTAGATTGGCTGTAATTTTTTATTATATCTTATTTTATTCTATCCTATTGAATGGTTAGTCGCAAAAATTGAGTAGGAATGTGAAATTTTTTTTAATTTTTTAATTAAATCAGATAGAAATACGAAATATCTATCAATTTTTATATTTCTATCCTACCCTACCCGCAAAAAATATATTTATCTTTTTTATATATATTTTTTAGTGATTATAAGAATATTTGTGTGGTATAATTTATATTATAACATTGTTATTGTTGTAGATGTTTGAGTAGCAAAAACATGAACTTATTTTTTGTGTAGGTTACATGATTTGTGGTAAACTGGTGATCTATTGGAACAGTTATGATTTTAATGTATTTCTTGTTATAGTTGTTTTATATTTTTAGTGTTATTGATTTATTGTGTTGTTAAATTGGTGTTATTTAATTGAATTATCCAAAAATTAATAGCTACAAAAGTGTTTATCCGACTTCTTACCCGATTAATCAGGTATGTCAAGAAAAAATTCTTCCGCAAAGTATCAGGTAGGAAAACGGAAGACTATATTTCTTACCCGTAGGATAAGGTGAACAGGCTTAAACAAGAGGTTACATGGATGAGGAGAGAGAAAATAAAAAAAGATTTCCCCATTGCCCCAAAAATTTACTTAAAATGATTGGTAACATATCTTATTTTTGTGATTATCTTTCAATTTAAATTCACAACCTTATCATTTTTAGCCTTATTCAAAAAATAAAAGGGAAAATTGACGATCGTTACCTTTTATTGAGTAGTTTTTACTAGTTCCCCGACAAGTAATTTAGCTCTTGAAATATATAATATTCGTAATTGTTTTTTTTCCTAGTTTTCCTAACTAGGATCATAAACACAATATCTCGTCTGTGATAATTTTTTTTACAAGTAGAACGACTATAAGTGATTGTGAATGATAATGTAACACTTATCTCACTGCCATGGCACGAAACCTCTTTTACATTGATGAAATTTACATCAAAGTGAGTTTTAAAGTTGCCCATGCGTCAAAACGGACATGACCCAAGTCCATTTGTTGGGTTAAGTTTCATGTGCTCAACCTGGATCAGATCTATCAAATTTAGTTTTAACTTGATATTGACTCCGTTAAACTCTACTCGTGTTAGCAAATAAATAAAATTGCCTAAACTTTTAAACAAACCTGATATTCAAGCCTAACCAGAACAATATGTCCCTAAACTCAGTAAGCTCGAGTTTGGTTTGTTTATAAAGTAGTACGTTAAGCTATTTTACACATCCACTGCTATCCTTAAGGAGAGCACCATGGTACCGCTTTTTATTCATGTGTTGGTTTATTTGTGATTGTTAATCTTGAACATAGTAAAATAAAAAAATATAAAATATAAAATATAAAACTTTACATGTCATGTTCTTTTGAGTGAAAATATGAGAAATCCAAAAGCTCAACAAGAAATCGAATGAAATTGTTATAATAACAAAGAATGACAACTTAGTTATGCATCGAATGGCCAAGAGTGTCAAAATATAATGCGACTCATTAGCATGATACAAAATTAAAGAACTTAAGTCTTTATTAAGTCACTCGTTCCGTAAATGAGTAGACCCAACACGATACTATTAATAAACAAATTGGGTATGAGTGAAACCAATCAAAAAAAATATGTAACACGACTCACTTATATACTAGTTATACATAATTTATACACGACACGAACCCATTGTGACATGACTCGTTAGACACAAATTAATAAACGAATTAAATATAGATGAAGTGTTTTTTGACACGAACCATATAAAATCCAATATAAATTCGTTTCATCCAGCACGCTTGACAAACCTAGAAATACCCTTAAATTGTAAAGGGAAAAAAATTTGTATGCAATAGAGATTTTATAAAACAATTTCATACAAAAATAATCAGATAGGTCCAATATACAACCAAACTTATGGCTTTGAACACGTTGAAGAATGTCATGGAAACTATCATTCCTCACATTCTTCCTCATTGCACTTTCAACTATTCATGATTTTCCTATTTTCAACATCGTTTCCAGTTTGCTTGATACAAAAACAAACAATATACATACATCTATGCTAACCAAACCTCTCGGAGGAGTTCATACCTTGAATTGGCACCAACATCAGCGGTTTGATCCTTGTGTTTTCCGTTTCCATTCGCTGTAATAGTAGGGGATGACGGGAATTTCTCAATGATAGATGTTAGAGGGGAATCTAGTTCCTCGAGTTCTTCGTCACTGGTGTATCCCTTTCTCTGTATAACAGATGCACTCCGAGTCAACTGGGACGTCCCTCCAGCCTCGGCAACTTTCTCCGCCACATCAGCGGAGGAAGGAGGTGTATACATAACTGGGGTAGCTGCGTAAGGGAAGCTGCTGGAAGTCTCTCCCGATAATCTGCGCTCTATGATACACTGAACAATCGAAAAGAGAAAATACGCTTCAAAAGGTTTGTTTCAGCAATTTTCCTTGGATAATAGCCTCAATTCTTGAAGTCAGTCAAGTAGAAGCATGTCAAATGCCTGTATCACTACTCATTCCAAATTGTGCGATATCATAGAGTATGCTACTCATGACAGAAAATTTCAAATCAAACCAATTAGACCCTCATAAGAATATCTCTCCAGGTACATTGATAGCAAACAGCATACCAAAATCATTGTTCACGGAAAAAAATCATGATAAATAGGTTAGATTTGCCAGAGCTACCCAGTAAAAGTTAAACTAATAAGATAATTCGGGTTCAAGTAAGATTGCACAGATTTAGGAGAAAATATAGACTAAGAGCTGAATGGTGAAGCATTTTGTAGGTCGACCTGGGATTGTATAAATCTTGAAAAAGTTTAATTGTATTAGATTATTTATTTAAAATAAACCAAGAAATTGCGAACTTACTTTCTTGAGATATTTGAAGTTGTTAAGTGAACAATAATTCACATCCATCAGTAAAAAAAATTCTTGATTCTAATAGTACAAGTTGCAATGCTTGAGAATGTATTGATATCAAGTGTGAAGCTGTAGGGTCTCATCTTCTATCAAAGATACGGTTGGAGAAATTTGAAAGGTAACAAAAATCATACCTCAGCATTTACTGCCTCTAACACAGCGCCTGGAACAGGATCTGGACAGAACTCATCTGGCGTAAAGTTGCAGAGTATTCGCTTGACCAATGGAAGGCTAATTGATGGACACACCTACAAATTATGATTATAGAATATTCAGTATATTGGGTATGGGAATGGAACATGTGGCTATATACCTTATTACATTTGTACTGGAATTATAAGATGGACCTCTGTTCTGATTGATCGGTCCATAAGCATGTCTTTTGGAAGCATTAAAAGATCACTCAAAGTATTAAGAAGATGGAAACATTTTGGTTCATCTCCACCCTTGTTGCTATCATCCTTGCTGATGTGCTGTTCTTCTTTTACAGAATCATCAGTGTCCATGCCAAACAAATCAGTAAGCCACCTAGACCAATTGCCAACCTACATAGAGTACCTTTTTAGTGTTTTGACGCTAACAAAATGATGACAAATGTGCAGATAATGTGAATATGTGATATATAATAGCAGGTCAGGGAAGCTTCAACACCTAGGTTTCAGCAAATTGTTGCCAAGCTGAGTGCAATTAGCCAACAACTGACAAGGTGTCTAGAATTGCTCGAACAAAAGAGATCAATCTTTAATGAAAAATAGTATTACTATTAGAAAGATCAATTCTGCACTCATGGAATTTAAAAGTTATGATTGAAGAGGCAGGGCTGTACAATATAGAATAAACAAAGAATCTCCCACACAAATTTCCCCTTACCATACATGAGTGTGTGCCTCAAATGCTATGTTTAAACAATTTCGCAAATTCTTTGCAATGGCATCCAAATTCCCCTCTACATTTCATACAAGTTACATCTTCAGCATTTCACGAACCTCTAAAGAGGACATATAATTGCCAGGGTGAGCAAGTTAAACATAGATGGAATTGATGTTTAGCAGTTATCAGGAAGAATAAATTGATGCCCACAATCAATCAAGTACAAAAAATAAGACTGCTCCATTGTCAGACAAATTCGTCCACAGTAGAAAATGCTTGGTTTGCCTCATAAATTTCCCCTGACCACTAGGGAGACTACCAGAGCATCCTGCAAAAGGAACTCATTGCATGGCACATGAACTGTAAGGAACATGGAGATGTACAGACACAAATGCACCAGAGCAATTGACCCTTGAGGTGTCAATGCCACACAGTGTAAGCACCCCATGGTGCATCCATATCTGATTTTGTGGTGTGTGAGGGGAGTCATCCTCTGGAACCATGCATCACGTGGATCAGGATGGGTCCCAAACGAGGATGTTTAAGCCTAAGGGGCAGATTGAGGTGACTGAATCCCATATCAGTTGATAAAATGAGCTTAAAGTGTTTGATAAGTGTGAGCATTAGACCTTCATTAGCATTTCAAATTGGGTTTCTAATTTCAAGCAGATTCAATCAGTGACATAAATTCCCATCCCTGTTACTATAATTTTCCTGTAAATAAGTTCTATAACTATCGTCCTAAGAAATAGGAGTTGCCTCCAACTATTTGCTCCAATTTAAAAAAAAAGTACACTCACTACAGTAGCAATTATAATTGTAGCGGACCTCCTACTAGATTTTAAGGAACTGATAACTAGACATAATTTGGAATTTTGAGCCCCTCTTGCAAACAAAGTAACCAAAGAAGTAGGTGAGATTGCTAGATCATCCATGCACACAATCTAATTGATTCTGATACATACCGAATTCTTGAGTTGTGCACCAGACCCAAAGCTCAAATCTCCAGCTGGTATGGGCAAAACCTTGGGGTCAAGTATAGGATCTGATACAGGATCAGTTGGGATCTCATGCGCAGACTCACGGAGAATAGCATTGAACATGGCTACGTCTAATCTGGAAACACATTGTTCCATTACCTAACAACAGATACAAGATATAAATGCAAGCAATTACAACCAGATAGACGAAATGAAAAATAGAAGAATTTAAGTCTCGTGAGCTCATTTTCCATCTGCCAAACATATTGGAGCTACATATAGAGGGTGAACATATCAAACATTACATACCATTCTTGCCAAGACAGGCAAGCAACCACATTCATGTCCCCCTGCACGAACGGGACAAAGTCTGTTAAAAGCATCCTGGAAGGCATTCTTCCAAAGGTTGATGGAAAAGCTGCCCTGCTGCTGGTCACCCAAGGCAGGTCCCAAGATCCTTCCAATAGTTTTATTGTTATTCGAATCCTCAGCTGGAGATTGCATATTAGGAGCCAAGGTCTAGAACAAGAAGTCAGTCAGCAACAGGAGAAAACCACATGAGCAATGACCATCACACACTACAGTGAACTACACCAGAGATGATGGCTTACACCTAAACCTGAACAACATACCAAAATTTTTTTGGGTCTTGATCATTTATAGCTTAGCTCTTGACATATTGCATTTCACCACTAGGTCATGACTTGACTCATTTTCACTAGGTTAAAAAGGAATAAAAAATGCTATTTAATTGCTTCAGATAGTATAATTAGGATTTGATTAGGTATGAGCATCAAATCTGACACCCACAACATCAGCACAGTAGTCAGTGAAGTATTTACCTGCCACCATATTGATTCAACTATGCGAGAGAAAATCCAGGATTCAACTTTCTCGAGTGAAGCTGTGAAGGTTCTTGTTTCCTGCCAGTCATCAATGAACTGCATGAAACCAAGTTTGTTTGATTGTCTGCTGCCAGAACTACCATTCCATTTTAGTGATGAAGGCGTCCCTTTGCTATTCTTCTCTCCTCCATTTGATTCAATAATCTTTGTTAGAGCACTTGAATGACACGAACTGCCAAATGCTTGAGAAATAACTTCCCTCAGAACGACTGTGTTTGACAACCAGAAAGTTAACCTTAACCACCAGAAGAAAGAGAAACATCTATTAGTCCACGGTAAATGAAAACATAAGCCAAAATCCTCCAACTGAAACATATAATTTCTACATACCTCGGAACATCGTTGCCACAGGACTTGGCAATCAAAACAAGCCCCGATACAGAATTCCTAGCAACCGTGGCCCGCTTATCTTGAGACCAATTTTTGCAAGCATGGATATATAGTCGGGAAAGGCGCCTTGCTGGTGTGTGCAGCTTATGTGCCGAGCTGCCATGCTCTGGTACCACAGAATAAAGCGAAATTTCAAGAGCCGCAACTTCTCTAAGCTCCTCTTCAAGTTTCTCAATTCTCATTTCCATTTCTTCAATTTTTTTATCCAAAGCCATGTTGTCTTCATGGTCTCCATTTTCCTCAGCATTGACAGTTTCATCATCACTCTCAACACTCTGAGCTCCATTTGAGGCTTCATCCATGATATCCACTTCCTTTGCGTCTACAAGAAGCTTATCATCAACTCCTTCAGAGGATTCTGATGAAGGTTTTGGATGAACTTTCATAATTTTTGAGTTGTTATCAGACATATTTTTGGTTGCGGATACAGAAAGTCCTTTATTTGATTTTGTGGCTTTGTTTGGAGTGTTTTGCTTTCTCTGTGCAATATTTTTCCCCCGGTCAGACTTTAATCTTGATGAACGGGAACAACTGTCAGAGGTATTCTTTTTGGCAATCCTTTTTGGAACTCCTGAAGCTCTTTCTACTTTCTGATCCTCAGCTATTTGTGTATCCCCTTGAGACGATACTGAACCATTTATTGTATCAGAATCTGATTCTTCTCCCCTCCCCTCCTTCGATTCTTTATTGAAATCAGTAGAGTAATCAGTAAATTTATCAATGCTTTCTTTATCAACCATTTGAAGGATTTGCAGATGTTGAGATGCCTCCTCAGACCTGTAGACATCATTCACATAAAGTATAACAATGTTTTCAAAAACTTCAGAGGGCTCTATGCCCATATTTGAATCAGTCACTAAGATACTAGAGTCCAATTTAGCTGATGAAGCTTTAGAATTTGTTTCTTTTGCTTTGAAAAAAATTTTGAAGGCATTCTCTTGATGCAGTTTTTGATCTCTTTGTTCAGATCTTGCAGAATGCTTTGTTTTAGTATTTTTTGGATTTCTCTTCTTTTCTGTCTCCTTCATACTCAAAAACAATTCTCCTTTTCCAACTGCAATCAAAAGACATGACTCTAACGATGGAGAAAAACAAAATGCCTGAATAAAACAAATTACATATCCTAAAGAGAACAGAAGAGAATTTAGCATGCAGAGCAAACTTCCTGAGACATACAGAGACAAAAAGAGAGGCACACACACAAGTGCGAACGATGGCCCTCACCCCCAAACACCCACACGGGTGAGATTTTGAGTCAGTAACAGGAGGCTTCATATTCAACAAATAAATATCAGAATAACAGTTCACTAACAGTCAAGCACATATGTCAATACTTCGAGATGTTGTCACAAGAGGAACTTCAAACAGGGCTTGAAAAAGTATTACTGGTTTAAAATGCAGCAGGAACTTGATTGGGTAAACTAATCACTAGGCATTAAGTTATTAACTGAGCAGATTACAAATTATGTATTACGGCCCAATGTGCTTGAGGCCCATACATATGTGAATTCTCAAATTGAAGCAGAAATCAAAAGAATAAAGTTATTCTTCTAAACAAACCAAATATAACCTTAGGAATGAAATGCTAGCTTCAACAGAGGATTCTGACAACCCATATTCCACTCAATGACAAAGTAATTGCTGGGCAGCCTAATGATATAACTTGAGGGCAGAAACATAACAACAGAAATAACAAGATAGATTTGCAAACATTCCCGCATTGGAAATTAATCAACTGACTGAAAAGCTGCTCCAAAGAGTCCACCTCTAGAAGGACAAAGATCTTTGCAAATATTACTCAAGTTTTAAAACCTGCTGAGATTGTGGGTCATAGACCAAAACATTTCTGGAGATCATGTGTGTGCAGTTGTTAGAAAATGGGTAGAGTAACATGCTTCATGTAAAGCTCATCATCTGTGATCGAAGATGATTAGATATCCTTTATTTTTGTCAAACCAATGGCTCTTCTGATATTGGGAAAAAAAATATATTTTTCTTCATCAACATACTTATGTCAAAGCCTCATTTTTCTATTTACATTAATGAAACTTCCTTGACTGATAGTAAATGGGAATGCAATATGATGCTAGACTGTTGTGAAGGAGTTCCCATGTCCCACATTTCTTTTCTGTTATGAGTATTTTGCACTTACGAATTGTTTGTTATTCCGCACAAAAACATCTTGCCTGATTCACTAATTTAGGGCAAAGAGACTAAACTCTAGTATTTGAAAAATGCTCTGAGCTCCTCCTTGGTTAGTAAGCTCATTTTTCCATTTACTTCTGTCCTTTTTCCCCCTTTATTCCATTAAATAGCATTGTCAAAAAGATTATGGGCACTCAAATCTGAAGATAAACTAAACTACAAATCTTGGATCCAGGTCAAATCAATAAGCCCGTTTGTCAGCATTCATTAGATTACAAACGAAGTCCAGTCTTAATTCCACACATCAAAATCTTTCAGCTGAGTTCAACTGGTAAACTACTCAACTCGGCCCCATTGATAAACCTACATCAGAAACATCTACAAATCAACAGTATATCTCATGAACTAATTCTGCAAAACAATGCGGTATCAGCCAAACCATTTCGAATAGAGAAATATCCGATCTTACTAACCAACAACAAAAAATAATCAATGAGAACACCTAAAGTAGACTTCAGGTAATGAAGAACATAGTGTGTAAATTTATACACCCGACATCGATGACCATTTAATACAGCTTAAAACATTTCCTCTATTATTAGCTCTAGCCTCTGGAAGTGTTCTCCCATTAAAGAAAGAAGAATCGGAAGTGTAAGTAAGTGGTTGCTATAAATTAAAGGCAATGCCACTTAATTAAGTCAGATCGAACTACACACCACTTCAGGACTTGAACCACACATTACCAAGTACCAACAACAGCAGCACAAGATAAATACACACACACGCACACGCACACACACACACACATACATACATACAACATGATTTAAGAAACAGAACATTAAGAGAAAGGAAACATAAAATCGCTTCTTCGGCTCCAATTGAAGGATGCACATAACTAAAAGACATATTTTCCCACCCACACGCGTACACATATCTTGAAAGAGCTAAATTTAACCAGACGAATTATTCATTTTGATTCGAAAATTCTCACTGAAAACTCAGAGAGAGAGAGAGAGAGAGAGAGAGCGACAAAGAGCGAGAAATCGACATCCAAACTAGGACCTATTCGACTAGACATATGATCGAATCTCATAAAATTCGAACTGAAAACTTAAAAAGACAAAGAGAGAACAATCTCAAGTTCAACAGACTCGGAAGAACCAAACGAGAGAGAGAGTGCCAAAATGCAGAGCAAAACAAGGCGAGAATTCTATGCATAAAGAAGTAAAACTCGAAACCAGAAGACATCCAATGCCGTAAAACAATCAGATACTTGTCGTCGGTTCTTCGATATTCAAAACCGCCAAAAAGACGAATATATAAATGAAAAAAAGAACAAAAAAAAGTGCTTCGGAAAGCAGTAATGCGTTGAAGAAAACATGTAGAAACATTCGGACTTACCGAATTCTTTTTCCCAGCTTCGAACTTCGTAAGATCGAAGAAGAAACTTCAAATGCTGGTAGCCTCGTGTTCCGCCATTTCCGATCAGTTACGCACAGAATCGTCTTTCATATAAATCATATACATATAGGAGCTCACAAAAAACACGCACATCTCTCTCTCTCTCTCTCTCTCTCTCTCTCTCCTCACACCTGTCTCTGACTAGAAAGCCACTTTCTCTTAGCAGTAGTGAATCAGTGATGAACGGTTTCTCTCTCTACAGAGTTTTTTTTTTTTTTTTTGGAATTGGAAATTCCGCAATAGGAATTAGGAAGTCACTGTGAATTTGATCGAGTGCGGACAGATCTATTTTAAAAAAACAAGTGGCTTTATGAGCTGTACGTACGCAGGTTCTGACCGGTGAAGGGTGTCGGTGGAGTACAATGACCGGGACTTCCCGGTTACGCTACGCGCTATTATTATTAGACCAAATTATAATAACACCCCATTAATTTGTAATAATGTTTACTCTAAACAATGCCCTCATTATTTTTAACTAGTGAGCAAGGCTGCATGTGTACTCGATTGTAGAGGATAGACAAAGACATGGGAGTGAAAGAAAACCTAGATAATGGTCATAGAGGATTGAATGTTATTGCGAGTTTAAGTCAAATCTTTGAAGCTCATTTTTTTAAATATGCCTAAAAATTTATTCGAGCTCTATACGAGTCGAATCTGAGTTGAGGTCGAGTAACTTTGACTCGATTATCAACTCTACCTATTCTGTTTATCAGTAGTAATTTTTGATATTATATTGCATTTCATTTGAATTTATATTTCGTAATTTTTCCCTCCATCCATCAAAGATGAGATATATTATCTAAAAATTGTCGACTTTCACTGCTTTTAAGTTTTGACCATTAATGTAACCAATTTCAAAAAAAAAAAAAGCAATGGTATCAAATTTTTGGTATGGGGCCAAGATTGGGTGGGTCTACTTAAATTTTAAAAACTGAGGGGTATCTCTTGGAATTATAAAATACATGTAAGACGTATTTTGCAATCTGTATTTTGACCCTACGTACAAAAGTGAGTAATGACCTAAACCAACATCATTCTCTTCATCAATCTTTTTGGAGAGAAGCTTTGATTACACTTAATTTGTTATCTCTGCCACGTAGGTTCATTTATAGTTTTGTCCATTTTAATTGAATTCATGATAAATAATTATTATACCAAATTAATTATCGAGAATTAGACATAACATAAAAAAATAATTTTTGTGCACCAAAATTGTGTATCAAATCATTATCAGCCATTGAATAATAGTGGGTTCCACTAACTTAATCGTTGATAATGATTTAGTACACATAACATTGCTAGTTATACAATAAGCAAGGTTTTTAATATCAAAAATATTGATGGTAAGTATAATATATATATTGGTTCAATCTTTCACCCCAAATTTATATGCCAAAAGCTATATGATGGGGTTTTCATCCAAATCAACGATTTTATGTCATTTTAATTAGACCTATAGTTTTTGATGCAGGCATTTTGTTATATGAATATGCCCTCCACTGAAAGAAATATGAACAACACAAGACTAAAAATCGTTAAAATTCATGACCTTGCTATATGTGGAGACTATATAAAAATTGAATTGCAAATATCAATGACTAATATGATACAATAGAAAGATTGGAAACCCAAAATGATAGATATTGCATACATCGGAGACCACAAGTGTAATTAAATTAACTCTATAATTTTTTAATGACCAGAATATGAATTTTGTAAATATATTTATTAATTTATAATTTTCTAAATTCTGTTATTAAATTACAATATTTTTTTAAAAAAGTGGAGTCGTTGTATATGAAGTCCATAATTTGGACTTAAAATCGGGGATGTTGACCCAAGTGTAATCAAAATGAAATAGCGTCAGCCGTCCGCTTCTCCCCAAGGACCACCCGCACCGACGACGACGACTTCCTCTATTAGAAGACACGATTGATTGGGACATGAACTTCTGTCACAATCTCACCACCACAAGAATCTGCCCTTTTTTGTTGCCTTTTCACTTGGAAGCAAAAAGAGCGTCCAAAACCATGTTGTCACAAATACTACAGTGGAAAGAGTAAAAGGATAAACTTGTGTTTCCTAAATAGCCCAAAATGTTTGATATCAGGTACACATATTCTACCAAACCTGGGCGGAGATAAATTCAGTCAAAAGGTTATCACCTCGTCTAGATAGATGGAAAGGATGGCAAAGAAGTCTTGGTGAGCCTACAAGACAAGAAAATATTTAGTGAATCGATGGTTGAAGTCGACCAAAGAAACTCCGATTTTTAAGTTAAAAGACGAGACAAAAAAAAATATAGAGCCTATGCGGAGATAAATTCACGCAAAGGATTATCATCTCGTATAGATGGAGAGAATGGCAAAGAAGTCTTGGTGAACCTACAAGACAAGAAAATACTTAGTGAATCGATGATCGGGGACGACCAAAGGAACTCCGATGTTTAAGTCAATAAGCAAGTTAAAAAAAAATATAGAGTAAATAGGTTAGAACTGAATATCTTACCTAATACCTGTAGTCTTTATTTATAGTAGTAAGGAGATGAATCCCAATTAAACCCAAACTTTAGGATAATTGGCTCAACCTCATCACCAGATCCTATAAACATGGGGGTAGAGTTAGACTTGAACTCTTGGTCCTCGGTCCTTATCGCTAGCCCCTCATTGATCGGAATAGCATTTCATTAGGACTCTTAACTCCTTTGTGCCATATTCTTAGCTCTTAAATATTTGGAGTGGTATTTAATTACTACTCGAGGTCTTAAGTTGCACCTTAACAGGACCCGTCTTTAATTGTCTTGTGTACCAAGGGTGAACGAGGGAGGTCTTGCCCAAGTATCTTACTAGTTAGAAGTAGCTTAACTTTTACCAGCTGAATGGTGTAGGCGAGCCTCGACTGGGTGGCAAAAGCGAGCCATTTTTTGCCAAGTGGCAAGGACAAACCCCTTTTGTCAAGTGGCAATGGCCAAGTGAACATGTCGAATGAATTGAAGAAGTCTCCCTGCCTTTGCTTAGTGTACCTTTTTATCGACTGGCATGAAGGAGCCACTTTTGCTTTTGGATCGAGGACTTTGCGAGTGGTGATGAGTTCCACTTTTGTCAAGTGGCGTGAAGTAAGACCCTTTGCTGAGTGGCAGTAGGAGAGCCACTTTATTTCTCACAAAACCTATAGTATTTCGTTCTCTTTACCTTAAACGTCGACTGACTTAGGTATCAAAGAAGATAGGCCGGACACATTTTCGACCTCTTTCTAACCTTGTTCTTTTTTTACAGGAATTTCATCTCTTATCCAATGAGATATAATTATCTCAAACTATTGCGCATGAATCAACCTATGCAATTTAGATGCACCGGATACGCCTTTGGCCCCCTTCTGGCCTTGTTTCTTGTTTACAGAAATCTCATCTTTGTTCAACTAAGTGCCACTATCTCCAACTATTGAGTAGATTCAACTCTTGCAATAATAATCACTCTCATAATACCTTCTTGGTACAAGTTTGAATGGTTCTTGGAGAGTAACTATACAATTTAAAATTTACAAGTCAAAAATACTTATAATTTGGATGATACTAAATGAAGAAATAAAAGAAACTAAAAATTTAAGTTTATGGTTAAGGGTTAACTCTAGTTAGGCCTCGATAATGTGTACCTTAAGGTTGTAGGTTTGTATCCCATTGAATCAAATCTACAATATTGGTGAATAATTGAATACATTTTAAATTAGGGAGGCTGCAGCCACATAAAAGTGGGCGGTAGTGAACCTTGCTATTAATTCAATCCCTCACCTCATCTCACAACTTAAAAAAACTAATGTAATGAATTTAAGGGATAGCTACACTCAGATTTTTTGAAGTTTATCACTTAATCACTCAGACCTCCTTATATTTAAAATATTACACATAAATCTCTGAGATTTGTACACGAGTAATACTTAGACCTCTGTCGTCAATATCCGCTAGTATATCCGTTAGCCTAAAATTTGTAAGTACATAATAGTTAGACCGCTCAAGTTTAAAATGTTATACTTAAATAAAAAATATTTCAATTAAAGATAAAATATCGAATATTTTAAATTTACAACCAAAATTTATATTCTATTATGACATTTTTGAAATAAAATTAAAAATAAAAATATATTTTTGTCATAAAAAATCATAATTACTATATAATTATACGTACTATCTATTGGAATTTAATTTGATCATTTAAGCGACCAAATTAAATTACAAGATTACCCCAATTACAATTAGAATATATTGTTTTTCATTATAGTTTGATCCCTTACTTGATTTTTTTAGTTTTATTCCAATAGATAGTATAATTGTACACTAAATACGATTTTTTTAAGAAAAAAATAATTTTTGATTTTATTTCAATAAATGAAATAATTAATAGAATATGATTTTTTTTGGTAAAATTCATGTTCTATTATGAATGACTTAGATCTCTTGTTTGATTTTTTAATTTTATTTCAATAGATAATATAATTGTTTACTAATTACAATTTTTTTAAAAAAAATTGAATTTTTATTTTTGATTTTATTTCAATAAGTGATACAATAAAATATGAATTTTGGTTGTAAAATTTAATATATTTGATATTCTATCTTTAATTTGAGTATTTTTGTCTAAATATAACATTTTAAATTTGAGGGATTTAAGTATTATATACCTACAAACTTCAGAATATATGATGTAATTTACTAACAGATATATTAACGAACATTTGACAACAATGGTCTAAGTGTTACGTCCGTACAAATCTCAGTGGGTCTGTGTGTAATATTTTAAATCTCAGAAGGTCTAGGTGATTAAGTGACAAATCTCAAGAAGTTTAGGTGTAATTCTCCCTAAATGTAAAGATTGCTCATTTTTTAGCCCAATCAATGATACTATTGAAATTTGTCAACGGATCAGGTATGAACCAGATTATCCTATATTTGAATTTAAATTCGATTAATTTTTTGATGATCTGATTAAATCCGATTATCCAACGGAGTTGAAAATTTCAATTCATGTGCAAATCCATTAATTTTTGGATACCCAATCCTAAAATTCAATCCGATCTAATTATCATAAAAAAACACATGTACGTTGAAAAATTAACAATAAGAATTTGGATAATGAACTAAAAAAAGAAGAAAAATTAAAATTTGAAGTGAAAGCAGGAAGGAAAA